ACTGGGTCAACAGAGTGGAGAGAGACTTCTCCAGCTGGTTAAAAAAAAAAATTGAACATAGATACAGCCCATGGTAAAAATGTAAACCTGAGCAAAATAACTAGCTCAATGTGAAACGATTGTGATGTAAAACACCTGAGGAACTATTAACAGTGAGAGAAGCACTGAAATGGGGGACTGGAGACCTAGACAGAATTAATGACCCTGCCATCACCATCATTTAATATTTACAAAGTGTTTCTAATAGGCTCGGCCTTGCACAGCTGAATGGCTCAGTTATCCCCAACTTAGAAAAATCACTGAACAAGAATCTCATTACTTCCACCTCAACTGTGGAGACAAGAAGAGTTGTCATTAGCCTCCATCACAAGAGGGTAATAAGAAGTAATAAAGGTTAGAAGACATTTGATGTAACTTAGAGAAAGGTGTAGCTTAAAAATCCCTAGAGATTTTATATTTGGTTCATTTTGTGCAAAAATCTAGGACAAAAATAAAGTACACAAAGTTCTATGCTGGAGAGAAAGAACAAATGAGAAAATACAGACAAAAGCATGTGAAAACCAAATAGGAAGGCATCAATATTATGTTAATGTCATCATTGTGAAATTTGTCTGGAGTATGCCGTGAACTATAAGACACCGATGAAAGAGACTGACAACACAAACACAGTATGTATAACAAGAATGCCACAAACATAAGCTATCGCATGCTCATGGATTAAAAGAATTAATAGTTAAAATGTCCATATTACCCAAAGCAATCTACAGATTCAATGTAACCTCTATCAAAATTCCAATGGCATTTTTCACAGAAATAGAACAATCCTAAAATTTGTATGGAAACACAAAAGACCCCAAATAGCCCAAAACAATCTTGAGGAAGAACAAAGCTGAAGGCATCATACTTCCTGATATCAAACTATGTTACAAAGCTATACCAAAACAGCACAGTACTGACATAAAAACAGACAAACAGATCAATGTAACAAAAGGGAGAGCCCAGAAAAATACCCATGCATATATGGTCAAGTAATTTATGACAAAGGAGCTAAGAGTATACAATGGGGGAAAGAC